TTAAAATATAGTTCTGCAACTGTGGTTGATAATGTTTTGAACTTTTGAAATATTGCATGGTAAAATCAGAAGCTGTACTTCATGTTAGTGACAAACTTTGGTGATTTTTGGCTATTTACCTTCATTTTTGCTTCTACTTTTCATTTAAAATAGGTTTCCATTCATGGAAGGTTTCTAAGTTTCTTCTTCTACATATTGAAAAAAGTTGCTAAACGTCTGAGTGGTGTACTACTGCTACTTGTGGTGAGAACGTGTATTGCATCTTTTCAAAATCAACGCGGTCTCACGGCCCTGTGCGGCCCAAAGTCAAAAACTGTTGTTCATTTGAGGCCCTCAAGGTGGCGCTCGCGGCCCTTGGATAAAGAATCTCCTCCATCAAAATATCTCAAAAATCTACACTTTTGTTCAATTTAATGTGGTTTATTCCCAACAAAAGGTCATTTCATAAAAGAAAAAAAAAAGATCAAAATCATAAATTTGGCTCAGATCTCTTGAAACAGACAGTAGGCTAAGTTATTTCAAAACATCCTCTTATTCCAAAGTCTGAGCTTTTACCATTTTTACTGTCCGTAATCTGTATAAAAACTTGAGATTTAAAATTAAAACCATAAAAGTATTAAGCATCAATAAACACATCAGGTTGGAATATTMTTTAAAAGTTTTACCAGTTTTACTTTACCAGACTGCGGAAAAAAATGTTMTTTATTTCAAACGTTTGGATTGTAAAAATGCTCAAAGTAACATATGTCCTCATTTTATATAGAATGATTACTTGGGTATGTTTACAGTTCTGGTCAAAAACATAGAGTCTGAGGAGCCACATGGACCACGGGTTGCAGAAACATGTCTAACATGTCCTGAAGATCCTCCTGGTTAAATTAACTTTTCCAATCTCTTCAGCCTCCAACCTGCAGAATAACTAAGAGAGAGATTTGTGATCCTGAGTCCACTAAACTTGCCAACAGCTTAATTAAACAACCACAGTTAGAGCATTTTTCTCCAATCATAAACWACAAATTTTATGTGTTGCAAGAGCCAGTTTATTTGGATAGTTACTTGCTATAATTAGTTGCTATACAGGATAACATTTTATTGTAAATTAACTGTTAATTGAGTCTTTATTCTTTCAAGTTTTGTGGTTCAAATTTTTACTTTACAAACCTGACTCTACTTTTAATAAACTCATAAAGTTCTTACCTTTAAACCACAGAAGCCCAAAAGATTGTTCCAAAATGTGTCAGCCTCGTTGAAAACCCAAAATGTGGACAATTCCTATTTTTGAGTTGTGAAGGCCTTGTACTGAGAAATATTTTCATCAGCCTATGTGTTYAAATGTCCTGGTCAATCCCAGCTGTTTGTTCAGGTTTTATGTCAGGTTTCAAGGTCCAGCAGGTCTCAGYGGTGGCAGATGAATAAGAATCTGAGGGTTACAAGATCTACAGGATATCTGGCTATTTTTAGAAGAAACTGGACRCCCTTCAAACTTTCTTCACATGCTCAAATCTTCCTGAGACATTTAGGGTGGGCTCTGGTTTGTTCTTTGTTGTCTTAATCACTGCAGTTTGAACAAATGTAGAACTCTTTACCATTTTTAAAAAGCCAGTTGTATCACTGTAAATAGTGAGACTGAAGTGGTTATAAAACTTTGTTGATTTCTAAAAAWAGACTACAGATAAACATGAACTTACTGCCTGACCAGCTGGATGTGTCCATGTACGTATGTCGAGTATGATGAACTGTAAAAAGAGCAAGAGTTGGACAGGGTGCAGAGGTCACTGGGGTGGGTTTCGTCTGTGTCCATGGCCTGTGACCCCACACTGACCTTTCCAGCAGGGGTGCACAGTGCAGTGCACGTGTTCGAACCAGGCCTGTTATGAAGTGAAGCCCTGGAGCATGTTTGATTCCGTGCAAACAAACTCCTGACTCACCCTCTGTCATCACTGATATCAGTTCACAGCTGTGTCCTCCCATGTCACAAATGACCCTGAATCACCACTTTTTGACAACTGGTTAAAAAAATAAAAATACAAATATAGCCAGAGAAAAATCGCAACATTTTTAGCACACAGCCAGATGAGCTGAAAAAGAAAAGCAGGTAAAAATGAAGAGATAGATGGAACTAAACTTTGCATCAAAAGAAAGTATATTTGTGTTTGGTAGATTATTTCTTTGTTGTAACAAATTGTCAATAAAGCTTATACCRTGAGAAAGCCTGTTAAATTCCCTTTTAAATGGGGCCACATTTGTAAGGAACATGCATTTGTGAGATGAGCAGTAGAGCTGAGTATGTGGGTTGCGCACATGAATAATTTGCTAAATCTTATCTGCCAAACAGCTTATTTTGCTGTTATTGACTCTTATTTTGAGCTTTTAAAACCCGCAGGTGCCTCCACAGATTGTGGTTTATCAGAGACTGCCTCCTCAATCAGGGAGTGGAGAGGATGGAACAACCTGCCAGCAGTCCTGACCTCAACCCTATTTATTGCTTGTGGGATCAGCTCAGGCGTGCTGTTCACGCCAGAACGACCATCACAGCCATGTTGGCTGACTTGCGACAAATGCTGGTTGAAGAATGAGATTCCATCTCTCAGCAGTGTGCGACCAGGCTAGTGACCAGCATGAGGAGAAGGAGCCAGGCTCTTGTGGCTGTGTATGGTTCTTCCACATGCTACTGAGGCTTCTGTTTGCTTAACAAGTAAATTGCCAATTTGTTTTGTTTCTTCAAACTTCAATTATCCAGTCTACCAAACACCAAATGTTTTTGGCAGAGAGGATGTGACAAATGTTTCTTGTGGACAACCCACACTCAGCTCTACTGCTCATCACACAGATGCATGTTCCTTACAAATGTGACACCATTTAAAAGGGAAACTAACAGACATTCCCATGGGATGAGATTTATTGTCAAGAAACATTGTTCCAACAAAAATGATCTACCAAACACAAATTACTTTACTTTTTTGTTAAGTTTATATAAAACATAGAAACTGCATAAAAACATCTAAAAAAGTAAATAGAACTAAAAACTAAAATGGTACTTACCTGCACTGATTACTTTCCATAAACACAATATTTCAGTGTAGAAATAAACAAACAAAGCCCAGTATTGATACTAATACATACTGATTAAGTACCTGGTACCTGCCTGTAAAAGGAAATCACTTTTACACGGATACATTTTCACTTCATACTTGAGAAAGGTTGCATGTTCTTCAGTACGAGGTATGCACAAAGTACCAGGCTGTAATATGTGTTGCTACCAAGTGAATCTAAAATAATTTTGTAAGTTTTTTTATTACAGTGATGAATCAAAGGATTTGTATTGTATCCCATATTAGCAAACTGTGTTTTAGTGTTACATTGTATCACATTGTTCTGTTTTACAATGCATCGACTCGTACAGTATGTTGTTTACCAGCTAAGATTTAAATGGGATTAAAACTGCTGTCTTTATAACAAATCAATGAATGTGTGTGTTAGTGCTATAATGTCATGATAAACATGCATTTGATTCTGAGGGATTCTGAGGAACTTGTCTCGGCTCCACAATTGTTTCAACTCTACAATTTGTAGCTCGTAAATCATGGGACTTACACAGAAATGTATCATGAAGTCATTACTCTTCATTTTGATGTAAAATTCATGAGGAACTCTACATCTGAAAATTACCTCCTCATTCACCGCTTCTGTTTTAAAAATCAAATTTTAAAGATGTGTATGTTTAGCCCGTGATGATTTATGACGGATGGATTTTTCTCAGCAGCTCCAG